CAGATGGAAAGAAAGACTAATAGCAGAATGTATATTCATTAAGGTCATGCTGGATACACGTAACAAGGGTGACTCAGCACAATCGTCAACATCCTGGATATAATTCTGGATACACAAAAGTGAACGAACAAAATATGAATTATATATATGATTTTGAAGTCATAAATGTATGAATTAAAAAACCTTTGGTGTGATCACATGCAATAATTTTGCTAGAAATCAAAACAAAAGCTTATCATTGTGTGTAAACTATCTTAGTGGGGATATTTAAAGTACTTCCAATGTACAGCAAATTCTGTATTTAGCGAAGGGACTCTTTTCAATGAATTTATTATCAAGGTGTACAATCGTACATGTATGGCTTTTCTAATAAATTATATCCGGTGTGGGAAGTGAATCATAGACGTGACTACATAAAATAATAATAGTATTAAATGCAATTAAAATGTTTGTAATTATAATCATAATTAAATATCTAGTGACAAAACAATTAATGTCTTATATACTATTATTATTTTATTATTCGCACTTATGATTCAGTTTCCACACTGGATATAATTTCTTAAAATAAAGCCATATATATACGATTGTACAGCTTGATTATAAATTGGTTGAAAAGAGTCTCTTCGCTGAATCACTCGTTTTGATTTTCTATACATCCTAATGGGAATTTTCCATGAATTCTATACCCGTTGCACCAAATATCAAACTTCTGGTGTTTTTCATGCATTAAGGCTTTGTGTTTCACACTATTACACTTCAGTTTCACATATGTTCGGATAAATGTAGCAGTGTTCGAGTTTATTCACCGTCTAATTCACTTCTGAAACTGAATGACTAACTTCTTTGATCTTCAGTAAGAAGTATAACATCCTCGACCTACAGAATATAATACATCTCAACAGTTAGATGCCGATTTCAATGAAATATTTGCATCTGGCCCTATTCAGGCAGTTACCTGGGGTTCTAGTGGGAAGCCGTGACCAGTAGGGTACAGCAGCTCGAAGGTGAGAACAGTTACTCATCGAAGATACTGCTAAGTAGTCGCACTGTGTCGTGAATTGGCAAAAGTTAGAATTCATGGGTCATTGGATCGGGTCCCAATGCCTTAATGGTCTACGAGCTCTCCTTGTAACTAGAAGGTCCCGGGTTCGAGCCCGCTGTGGTGTGAGTGCGTGCTTATGAAAAGTCTCAAACTAGGACGAAACAGTTGTCCAGTACTCCCAGATTTTCTAATGGTTTTCTAACCGATGTCAGCTTATGATGAAATCCTCCAGTTATTCAAAATCCACACATATTTTCTGTCTCTTGAAAATAAGACGAGTTATGATGTGTGCACAGCATGCATATATATATATATATATATATATCATCCAACAGGTGTTATATCTTCTGACGTAACAAATGAAAGAATGATCGTTTTTCTGGTTTTAATACAAATAATAATCCCAAATATCTCCAGTCATCCAAACATTTACAATTCCCATTTCCAGATGACGCCCACTATTATCCTCAGAAAAAGTGAGAATATTTTATGTCATGCTTTTACTGACATTAATATTGTCCAGGTGCCGAAAACATCTGGTGTATAATGTGTTAAACTTAGACCTGCTGGCATTACCCCGCTCTTTTTGAAAATAATACAAAAATTACACCTGCTTAGTCTTAAATCTCCATTAAAAGCTTTTAATGTCCCAAAGGAATTCTCTTACAGGCATAGTAAAAGTACTTTGGTTAGTGTTGCCTACATTTTAATATTTCTTGTTTTTTCGGTGTTCGGTTCCTTGATTGCACATCTGCTTTTTATTATCTACCTAGACATTTTCTGAAAAACAAGCTTTCTGTGACACAAACGGTGTACTGGGTTGACAAGTGATTTCATTCTTGTTTTCTTGATAGGAAGGAGCACACTGTACATTATGAGAAATTCTTGCACTGCTTTGCTTACTGTAGCCGGTGTTGCTTTAGGTACTATTGTTTAATCTTACGTGATTGGCCTCATTCTGATGAAGCAAGTTTCAGTGTGATTATTTCCACGCCGGTTACTTCCTGATCAGATCGTTCCAAAATGAATAGCTTTTTGTTAGAAATGGTACTTGTTGAAAGGTATCAAGCTATACCCCCCAGCAAATGTCAGATTGATAATTTCACTTTTAGACACAAACATGATTTACATGAACTGGTTTTTGGCTATGATTCCTGTATCATGGAGGGAAGTTAAGTTAAAATTACGTTGGATGCTAAACACCCTGAACTATGTCTTTCTTCTGATCTCTCCTGGTCTTCCCACATTAATTTAATTTCTAGAAAGATATTTCAACTAGCCTGCTTCGTAAAAAAGTAAATAAAATCTAGTGTCAAACAATCTCTACATTTACGATTTGTTAATTCTTGTATTTTGCGTACTTTTGGTGATTACTCCCCTGTAATCTTTCTACGCTTACTGTATAAAGAGTTTGTTTTCAGTGTGAAGGACACTAGAAGCTTTTGCTATAGCAAGTGGGGTGTCGCTCGTTTAGCACTACTGAAATTTTACAAGAAACTAGCAAAAATCATCTTGTCGAAAACTGAGCCCCTTAATTCACAACTCCCCCACTTCATCTGATCAGGCAGGACTGTGGTTGGACGACTAAATCTAGAAACTCAATGTTACCTTATTTGGCACGTACTTAGTTGGATGACGAAAGTGTTAGGCATGTAACTCCCTTGGTAACAATTAAAAGAAGGCTATTTTTATTCTTCCTGTCGTTGACTTCATTTATATTAATTTATGATTTTAATTTAACGTTCATAATTTATTGTCACTGTGATTAGTGCCGATGTTTCTGTAAATTAATTTAATCCTTACTTAGTAACATAAAGTGAGAACGAGATGCAATATTGTACTACATGCTGAGAGTTCCGCGCCTGTATCAAATGTACTGTGTGAAATAAAGCCATTATTATTATTATTAAAGATGAGACAGGTAAGAGTCCAAAGTCGTGTTGATGTACTCAGAAATTATTTTGAGCAATGAAATATTCTGAAGCTCTTTTCATAAGTATTGCATGTTAGACAGATTGATAAGTAGCAAATAGACTTTGAAATTTTATTTCTTAAAGATGTGAATCTGACTACATGTCAATTTGTTAACTCTCAGTTGAGTTCAGTGACAGTGAACATACACAAAATCTTAACTGCTGATAAATTTCTAATTAAAACTTGTTGTCATTTCAGTTTCTTGTTGGCAAAAAGGCATTTTAGCTGACTTAATGTTGATAGTCATGAGTTGAAACCGAGTCAAAGATAATAAACTCCAAGGGTTAGTAACTTTATGATTGTTGAAGAGGATGTGAAAATGTGAAGAATAACGAGTGAGAAGACACGCTTACTGATAATATACCTCGACTTGAAAATGTCAGTCAACAAATCAGGTGTTTAGAAGACATAGATTAGGCTTCTTAATGTGGATCCCAACAGCCTGAGCAATAATTAGTAGACGAACTGTTGAGGTAAAATTAAGCCTAGTTGGTATAAGGTAGATAGATGACTTTCACAACTCACTGTTTTCCGGTATGTATGGTTTGCTTAAATTAATTTTAAATTTATGAGGGATAAAACTGTTCACCTTGCTTGTCAAGGGAAAACATACATTTTAGTAGTTTACTTTACTTGTACTTTTAATCCTTTCACCATCAGTTGCATTCCTTAAAGTTGTCAAGAACTTTATGGGTTTGAAACAGGTATATTGGAAGAAACATGGAGGTGTATAACTCATTGATGATAATAAAATGTTAACTGAGGCAGATTCACGATCTCACAGGGTACGAAACATTACCAATTCATTACAGTTTAACATCTGATTAAGATTGTAAATCAAATCAAAGATCTAGGCGAAAAGGGTTTCTGAGATATAGGGAAAAGCATGTAAGTGTGAACAATATGACAAAAACAGGACAAGGCATATACCACTAAACGTGAATCACTAAATAAACTGGTGTTTTTATTCTTCACATCACTAACATATTATTGTCACTATTTCCAATATTACTGTTAATGTCAAAAAAGGTTCTGTCATAATTTTCCCCTCACTATGTTAAATCAAGACAACATTAGATGCAGTATTATTTTACCAGCTGTGAATTCCACGCTGTTTGGAATAAAGCCAATACTAATATCACTAGAAACCTCTCCATCTTATTACTGATATCTGTTGATGCCTAAAATACGTAATAAAAGTAAATATCATTTGTTTGAGGGGTCAGTTATTTAGTAGAGTGCCATCAGTCAATGTGAAAATCACAACTGAATTCAAAAAAAATAATAATTGTCATTCATATTTGCCCATATCTTTACTGTTTAATTTCGAAAATGATTCTTTTGCTAATCTATTAGTCTCATTTGACACGCCAGATTGATCGACTTTTTTCTGAACCGTAAAACCATTGTCTAAATAAATAAGTACACATTTTTTATTCCAGTAGGTTCTTAGTGGAATATATAGGACTTCAAGCTAGAGCTTTGAATTCTCGGTAGCAGTGGTTTTATTTTTACTGAATGCGATTGCTAGTGTCACGCCCAACCTTCCCTCTTTGTCAGGCTTATTACCAGTTAAGCGAGGTTCGGGAGTGCGTCGGCCAAGGATCGAACGCCGGACCACGTGTGGTGTGGCTGGCGAGCATTCTACCTCTGCGTCACTGACGCATTATGTTCACATTGCTTTACTTAAAAAAGGAAGTATTTCTGCTACTGAAAATCATGAGTTTTGGGAAACAAACACATAATATTCATATCTTATGTGTGAATTACTTGAAGTTGCATATCAAAAACACCATATTGTTAGTGTTTGGAAGTATTTAAAGGCGTTTCAGTTAACCAGTGTAAGGATCTTTATATATTTCATTCCTTAGGCTGCAAAAAAATATCGTTAACCGTAGGATGTATAAAAATACTGATGATTTGATATTTGATTAATCAAAAAATTCTTAACTAATTATTTAATACTGATGACCACAATCAATCAACAAAGCAAACTTACACGCTTTTTCTCTTTAAGTCTTACATCCTCTACACATTTAATTTGTTCACCAGGTGTTATGCGATTCCATAGTCTAAAAGCTATATATCCATAAGTTGAGATCTGTATTCCAAGTGGTATCACGTATATTACTAAAAATAGTACAATTGTGTAAATGGAGCGTTTGTACTCATCACCATCCCACGACTCTTGGCATAGCTTAATATCAACAGACTGAGTTTGATTTTGCTGTTGTATATCCGTTCTCGTGGCGAATAACTGTACAGTACTGCCAGTGAAGGCAATCGTCCATATACATATTATTATACCAATTGTGAATGATTGTTGATGTCTACTATGCCAGTGATCAGTATTAAGTGAACCAACAATACCAAATAAACGATTTACACTAATAGCTGTGTTTGTCAAGGATGATGCTGTAACCATAACTAATTGTACGTAGACAACTATTGGACACATCAAATCAGGGAAAGGCCAGTAATGTAAGTAAATTTGTGTGAATGTGAATGGAATGCAGAAAACACCCATAAAAAAGTCAGATATTGCTAAACTCGCCAAATAATAATCAAATGATGGATTCACATTAAATGTACGCTTCTGATATGTGTTACGTATAGTAAAACGTAAGCGTTTCTGTGCCTTTTCAACTGAATTATCAACATGCTTTTTCATTGAACTGTTATAATCACGGTTATTTGAAGAGACAAATACATCAGGAAAGTTGTGATTTTCAGGATCTGATTGTGTCTGATTTTGCAGATGCTCTTCATGATGCGAAGTAATATTTCTTTCAGTGCCGGTCAGTCGTCGTATGGTTGGATGACAATGATTGCCCGAACTTTTACGCTTGCGTAAAAATATGTAGATTGCTACTGTATTGCCAAACAACGAGCATAACATTGTTATAATGTACACAATAAATACAAAAATACTGAGAAAAATCGAACATTCGTTCATTGAAGTTATGGTATATGTAATGCTATTGTTAATCTTAATAAACACCTTATAATTAGTGTTCAATTGTTGACTAGAATTTGTGCTTTAGCCGTAAAAATAATGTATGGGCAAATTAAATGAATTAACACTATCCATGATGAATGACCCAGATGAAACTACATCAACAGCGTTGAAAAAACAAAAATTATTCCCATAATAAATTTTTATTAATTGTTTAAAGTTGTCCACTGAGTCTTTAATGGCTGAAATCACTTTAAAATGATAAAATCGAGCAATTTCATTGGTTAATTCTTTTAAAATCTACTATTGGTCAGCCTTCATTATACCTAGTTTACGAAGTGTAGACTCTCGTTCCTAAAAATAACACACACTAACTTTTCAAGGCGTATAATTATTAATTCTGAAGAAATTGCTTTAGTTCGACTAACAAGTCAACAGCTTTCATTCTCCTTTCTAGAAAATTGTTATTCCTAAAACGCTACACAGTAAGGCTACTAGCATGAGAAAAACTTTCAATCACACTACGATTGAGAAAACAGGACTGAATCTCATTTAAAAGGTTTTGAATTAGTCTACTCTTTCTTCTATCAGAAGTTGTCACCTCCTTCTATTTTAGATAATGACTAATCCCCATTTGAACATCAATAGAGAGAAGACTGGTAGTTCAGCGAAGAGTCTCTTTTCGGCGAATTCATTTTCTTAGCGGTACAATAGTAAATATATATGGGTTATTTTGTATATATGTGTACATTAAGTTTATTAAACAAAAATACAATTGGTTATGGTTATTTTAGCTAAACAGGTGAGAATTAGTAAGTTTTTGGTGGAGTTACGTAATACAGAAAGCATTCAGAGGAATTGGATGTTGATATGAGGGTAGTAACAAAAGCACATGGTTCGAAGTTCGACCCCCTGCCGACGCACTCCTTTACCTCGCTACGCTAGAGATAAAGCTGGTAAAGAGTAAAGGTTGGGCATGGGGCTAGCAACCCCATCCTGTAAAAATAATCACCACCGCCACAGTGCGTCGGTGGCACAGCGGTTAGTACTCTCGCCAACCATGCACATGGTCCAAGGTTCGATCCCCTGCCGATGCACACCCGATATCTATGGTAGGCCTGCAAAATTTGGGCTACCGATATCATATGCTGAAAATTCCATACTTGTACCAAAAATACTGTGTGGTTTCAAGCTATAACCAAAATAAAAAATTCAAGCCTCTAGCTTGAATCCCTATGTTCCACTGGGATTGTGAAGGAATAAAAAACAAAAGCGATGAGTTGTCACAGACAATTGTTAAAGAGGAGTTACGTAATAACATGAAGAGTTTGATGAAAGAGTTGTGGTCAGGGTGAACATGGGAACAAAACGAAATACGGAATTCCGTAGGAATTTTATTGCAATACATGCGTTTTAAGTAGTTTGAAAACAAGAAAAAAAGTAAAAGTTAAGTCAAATCAACACAGTTGTTACCATGATAGTAGAAGTGGCTGAGTAATTTTCTTTTGTATGCATAGTTCTGGTTCTTCTAACTGAATGGCTAGGGCTTCTGTAATGCAAAAAAGACGGAAACGTATTTTCTTTGGCGGGTTGTTCTTCACTTTGTAGATTACTTTGTCTACACATATAATGAGTTTCGTAACTTTCTTCATTTGGCAACTATAAAGATCCACACAAAAGTTTTTCATATGAATTCCTAATTCGGAAGCTTTTAATTTCCCTCAAATCCATTCATGTAATCACTCATACAGTTTGCATACTGAAATATAATAATATATTGATACTTTTAAGATAATTGATTAATGGTTTCATTTCGTTACACAATCTAATAGATGCATTTTAGTAAGTTTACTTTCAATAGTAAATTTATTTTAATGATAATTTGTATTTTTCTGCAGGAAAGTATTCACTTTCAGTAGTGGATTTCTCATCATCCAAACTGTTAAATATCTTAACTATTACTGACACAAAAACACGCTGCTAACCCAAAACAGTCGACCTGTTAGACTAGATTCTATCAGAAGTGTATACCGAGTAACTAAAATATTTAAGAAGTTTAAATTTCGACATGATTTGAAACTTGCTTGAACGAAGAAATAAGCAGAACCTAACAAATACGTGTTCTAAATTTCATATTTTTACGTAAATATCGGCATTATTTACATTGGGAAAGTTGGCAGTGAAGCCTAGAACTTAAATTTCACCCAGCTCAGAGCTTATTAACTCTGTTTACCGGAATTGATGTTAAGTTACTGGGTTACTGATTAATTGACACCTGTACACAATTTAAATACACTAACCGAAGCCGAAAAATATTAACAGAAATTCAGAACAAAAGTGATACAGACAGTGATATATTAAGCCGCAGGTTGATTAGATCAGTTGAAAGAACTTTTACTGCCGAAGAAAAACACCTCAGTTTCTCAACCAGACAGTTACTGACACAGTGCACCGAAGATAAATTACGAAAGATAGCCAGCCACATCAATATATGTTTAAAAATTTCAATTGCTCATGTGAGGCAACCATATAGGTCAAACTCAGGGGAAATTATCTTTACGCGGTCGTAAACATGTTCCGGTTTGGCTTGAAAAATGTGTAACCAAATCAATAAATAGTGCATTTTCTCTCTTCTCGTGGTAATGGAATAAAAATAGGAATAGATGAGTAATATACGCTTGTACATTAAGTAAAAACCAATCTGTATAAAAGCACACAATTACTTCTCTCAGCTTTAGCGGAAACCGTAGACATTATTCAGAAAAAACCAGACACATGTGTACAAAAAACAAACATTCATCATCTTTGTTTATCATAGCCCACTATAGAGAAATCGGAGACATTATCATCCATATTTTCATGCCATACTGTGTCCCTCTTATTCCCTTTCACATAGTCCACTTCACTCCATTATTGCCTTCATTATGTGTCAACCTTTTGTATTCTACACTAAGCTTATCATGTCTCTAGTATTTCATTACAATTGACAATCTAACCTATTTATTTCATCACTAAACTTGATATCTGTCAGCCCCTGTTTCAACTCACATTCACTGTTCCCCATTTGTTAGTATTTGTTTGTATGCATTTTGTGCTAATCATTTTCCTCGGAAGCCATTCAATATTACTCACCGCCACTCCACACCCCACCCCAATGGAAATTATATACGTTGACTGAAAATACTTCAGTGTATCTCACATTTGTCTATTCACACTTTATCTTATGTTCTGAATGACTGCACATGTTATATACTTTCATTTGACAATATTGAATAACGAACTGTCACTCCACATTATGCCTGCACCTCAATACAGTTTCCAGTATAATTTTCACATATCTTTAATAACTTCTTGTAATATTATGGATTCATGGATTTATGAGTGTAGAGCCTGAGGAGGAATTTATTGAAAACCGCTGTTCACTGAAAATCATCTTTTTCTGAATACTCGATGTTGTGCTGTTTATTTTTGGTGGTGTAATATTTACGAGGCATATATCAGAAAAAAATGCACACAGTAAAGTACTTGCAAGTGGAGAGATACATTTATTTTCGAAAATTTTGTTTGATTAATTTATTGAAATGAGAAGCAAGAGCACTCAACATAGTGCTACAATGAAAACAATGAAGAATTGTACATATTCTACAGTGTTATGAGGAGAGTTACTTTGTAGCTGAAAGACTACTTTCTAATTTTTTTTTATCAGCTGAGTGACTATTATGTCTGTTGAAACAGTATGCTTTTTATTAGCAAGCAGACAAGCAAAAGTCATGTTTCACTCTCATCTGTTTCTAATTTTAGTCAGTAATACTTCGTTTGCAAAAGAAGTATTAGATATGTCAACATTTTTCAAATTACTGAGACGAGACTTTCCAATTCTGCAACTTTTGGAGCTTTATTTTTGTATTTTATGAGATTCAGAAATAGGAGCTTTAGAGCAGTAAGATACAAAGACATGAACAGTTTACACTTTTTCATTTGAGTTTGCGTTTTTATGACACTGATAGTCGATTTGAAGGATGAAACTGTTGCAGTTAGTTGCAGTAAAACCTGACTACACTTTAACACTTTATTTTTCTGCTGGGTTTTCATTCTCTCATCAGCTGACTACATTTAAGTTGTAATTAGAAACTCTAATCTAGGATAATTTATCTGGAAAAATTTGTGATGATTCGCCTTATGAATAATCTAGATAAATACAGATTACCATAGTCCTATTAACTGTTTGTCATGCAATTTTATTTTATCGATACAGTCTTCTGCAGCTGGAAAAAAATTGTAGAAAGGTCAAAAACATCATGAACTCAAAATAAATGAAATTTATAGACCTAAAATTCATGCTCGGCTATAGATTATTTCCTAAATCTATCAGTCTTATATGTACATATATATGCCTATTGATATTCCAATAATGTTAAAGTATCCCATATTTTCAGAACTATAACTTATAGTGTGTCAGGCGAAGAAAATTAACATATATGCGCATAAAAATAATTTTTAAGAGTCATGGAAAATTCCCATAAAAATATATGGGAACAATGAAACACTTGATTCAGTGAAGAGACACTTTTCTCTTAGAAAACAAATGTGTTTAGGATTTCAGCAATAGGGTTTACTTTACTACAAGAAAGGAAGTATACTACTTCAGAGAGTTCTCAAAGTCAAGCAGTTTTTGTGTTATGCTTACAAGAGGAAATGAAAATAAAACAGAAACAAATACTGCATTGTTTAAAGGCTTCGAAATCTATTCATTTACGCTTTATATATGCATGTACCTAAAAGTGTAATATGCTTATACGAGGATCTTCTCTCTTTGTATTTTCTTGAGTTTCATGTGAAAAACAAGGCTTCGGCAGCACATCTCCATAACAGCCAGTGCTGTGACATCATTTTCAAATGGCTTCACAACCACATAAAATCTTTCGTTTCCCCTTCACTTATCTTCCTCGATGGTCTTCTCTGTGCATGTCCAATGCATTTCAATATTCCTCTTCATATTTTCAGAGCGACTGGTTGGTACTGCGTTCACTGACTGCCAGAGTTCCTTTTTGTCTATCCTTTCTGGTCGACTAGCCATCTTTTCTTCATTATGGAAAGAGAGAAGTAGACATCTGCTGATAAAAGCCTGTGGCAGTCTGTTGGGAATGCCTTCGGTGACGCCTTCGCCAAGTCTTTGAACTATT